CCCTCCCAAAACCATTCTCATCGAGAAACAAAGGAAGAAAAAGAAAAAAAAAAAAAAGGATAGAATGGAATTGACACCCACCCTAAGTTCAAAAAAATCTTCAATTGGTATTTATAACAAGATCATTACTTAAGCAAACTACGAAATGAAAGCCTTCCCTTTCATGTGAAGGCTATAATTACAAAAGGATTTCATGTTGATTTGAACACCACCTAGAAGTAATATGCTATATGTTCCTATGAGAAACCGGGTTCTCATTAAGAAAATGAAAGAAAACAAAAGAAAGGAACATGGGAATACAAAACAACCCACGTCCAAGGAGACTTTTCAAAAAGGGGCTCCAATCCCTAACAATATGACCTAAGACCTAGGATGGTAATTTAAGAAATCCCTTGAGACTAATGCCCGGATAGAGGTAGTAAACCTTGCTAGCGATCAAACCTCTGCCCAAGCTCTCTGCACATATCAAACACTGTTGTTTCTATAAGTCAAATAGCCCAAACGATGGCAAACCCAACTTGCCACAAAATTGGACCCTTACACGAAAGTGTGTGAACAAGAAGACCTCCCGTAACAAATAACTGCACTCTCGAATGAAACCAAACAATTGAAAAAGGCTATCCTAAATGGAAGGAGCAAGGCGTCAATCCCAAAGGATATGATTTAGGTTTTTGGATGCTCTCTTACAAAGGATACACCAGTGAGAGTCCATCACCATAGAAGAAAGCCTTAAAACTTGATCCATACTGTACACCTTGCATAATAAACTCAATTTTGAATGCAAACGGATCTTTATTAGACCATTGGTAAAAACAGTTGCAATTTAATTGAATGATGAATGATGACTCTCATCATAGACAAATAGAGAACAAACTAAATTTTGGGGGGATTATTAGTGGGAGATAAAGCCTCATTGCACCATGTTCTTACATCTGTACCATTTTTCGCCATGAGATTGCATTTCAGTTTTTCATTTTTGCTCTTAAGAGATTCTTGTGTTCTGCCTTGATTAGAGGGATATTAGTATTTTTTGGGGGGCTTCTCTTGTAACTTGCTCTTTCATCTCTTATGTGACCCTTCATTCTCGATGCACCATGTTGTTACCTCCTTACCGTCTATCAGCCATGAGATTGCATTTCAGTTTTGCCTTTTTGCTCTCAAGGGATTCCTGTGTTTGCCTTGATAGGAGGTATGTTTGTCTTTTTCTGGGGGCTTCTCTTGTGACTTGCTCTTTCATCTCTTACACGACCCTTCACCCTCCCCTGGGGACTCTTTGTTCTCCTCTGGTTGGAAGGTTGAGATCCTAAAATGTTCAAATTTGTTGCTTGATAAGTCTTGCATGGAAAAGTTAATACTTTGGACTGCATCAAAAGACATTTTTACCCTATGGGTATTTTGTAAGGAGCATTTGTGGGTCTTGTTCATATTCCTTGGGGTTTCTAGCTTGTTTAGTCTATTTGGATTCTCAGTCTTTTTTTGGATAAGGGGAGAGTCATTGGCAGTCAACCTTATTGCTATTTTGTGGGGTATTTGGCTGAAGAGAAACAGTAGAATTTTCAAAGGAGTTAATAATTAGTTTCATTATATCATCAAAAAGTGTTGGGAAGAAGTTTAAAATGTTGCTAGATGCTAAGGTTTAATGTTCTTTGCGGGGTTATGTTACTAGGGCTTTCTTTCTGTATTTTTTTTATATGTTGAACTGGAGTCCTTAACTGTAGCTTCTACTGGGCCTCTTTTTGTTAGATTTTTAATGACCTATTACATGCTTTAGTTTTCTCAACTAAAGTTTGGTTTCTCATTGAAAAATGAAAAAAAAAAAAAAAAAAAAAGTGGAGAATAAACACTAATATTACACTACAATCTGTAGTACAGAGTTGATGCCCCATTCGAATGAGGAAGGAACACAACCCTTATTAGAGGATGAAGCCTTGAATCATTCTTTATATTATTGAAGTTAATTGTAACAAACCTTCCAAGGATATCACTTTGTGGCATGCTCAGGTGTGTGCCATTTTGTGGGGTCTTTGGAGTGAGAAAAACAAATGAAAATTCTAAGGGCTCGAGAGATCTCTTAGTGAGGTTTGACCCTTTGTCAGATTCTATGGTCTTTATAGGTTTCTGTCATAGGTCCTTTTTTTTGTAATTATCTGCTAGGTGTTATTTCTTTTGATTGGAGGCCCATTTTGTCGTTTACCACCCTTTTTTATGGGTTCTTTTTGTTTTGTATGCCCTTGTATTCTTTCATATATTCTCGCGAGAGCTTGATTATTCATAGAAAATTGTATGGCTTGGTTTTTGACAAGAATGACTCATTATTCATCATGAAAACCTTCGAAAATTTTCCCTATGTTGTTACCACGGGATTTATTTGTTTGATTTGTATGTTTTAACTGGGGTTTTTACCATCTCAAATAAAGTGGAAATCTAGTTTTAAAAAACTTTACTTTTTTAATCATATGGCAAACCGTTCTTGATGAATGCAAAAATAGAGAGTAAAAAAGAAGGCGATCTAAACAACTAATCTTGGAATGTTAGGCATGTACTCGTCACACACTCCAGCAATTTAGTTAAAAACATGGTGTGTGAGGTGTGACACATAGATTGTTGGGTTGTGTGCATCTCATGTTCTCCAATAGTTGGGATTCTCCTAGTATGGGCGGTATTGACTGATTGTTATTATAAAAAGGTGACCCAAACTCCAATTCTTAGTTCTTATTTGAAAGAAAATACTAATGGTTGTATCTTGGTGCCCTGATTCCATCTAGTCAGTTGAGGTTCAGGAGTAAAACACCTTACCAACCCCCATTTACTAGTCCCCTAAAACCAAAAATGTAAATAAAAAACAATATAACTAAAGGACTTATTACTAAGTTATTTACAATACAACATCATATACTAATTAATATGCTATAGCAGGTATCAATATTGGGCATCGATTCTATTCAAGGGCTGAAATGGTAGCTGTTGGGTTTCACAGCCACTGGCTGAATGGAATTGATTATATGGGGTTGTCGTACAGCAAAATGGTAACAGGAATCTCCCATTTGCTTCATTTGATAATTTATTTTCACTATTAATATCATTCAGTCTTGGTATCATCATTGTCATCACATCATACCTACGAGCTGTATTTTTTACAAAATTTAATTTGGACCAGAATCCTTAAAGAGAGTTGTTATTATTTTTTCTTTGGGGTAAACATACATGAAGAAACACTAGATTTATCCAGAGTTTGCTTAGACTCATTTAAGGGATGTTTGTTATACGGGTTGAGCTGTCGAAATATGAAGGGCATGATGTGCCTTCTCAAAATTCATGTTTTTTTTGCAGCTGAAATGTACATTGCATGGTGTTTAGCGATTCAAACCTTTGAAACAATTCATTCTAATTTTAGGCTCCTCACATCCATATGATAGATGTATAATATTTTCTCATTGTCTTGAGCTACATTCACTTTAAGGATCGCTATTTAAAATGTTATGAAACCATGAAATTACATTAGAAAGAAAACACAGCAAGTCATAAAAGCATCTAAGTAATGCTGTGTGAGAAGAACATCAAAATCTTAAAACTCTTGATGCTTAACATGTGAAACTGTTATGGATATAATAGAGGAATTTGCTTTTAAGTTTAATGTGATTGAAGTGCCGGGCGATACTTCGAAGTAGTCATAACACCAGTTGAGCCTCCCCTTTGTTATTTCTTCAGGAGTAAACTATTATGCAAATTAAATTTCTGTTTTTGTTTCATAAATTGTTATTAAGGACTATGATTGGATGGCTTATAAAGTGAAAGAATTGTGAAATTGTCACAATTAACCACATCTCCACGAGTTTGGAAGATAGGTCATATCAATTGTCTTGATTAGAACAAGCTATTTATGAGAACAAATTAGTAGAAAAGGGCCTTTTTGATGTAGAGGATTTGTGGAGATAGGTCAAGAGCATGTGATTTTGTGTAGAAAATTTATGTTATTTTAATCTTTTATAGGAAGATTGTCAAAATCCTTATCTAGAGGAGAAAATGCTTGAAGAAAACATATGTAAGTAGAACAATAACAGAATTGAGCAACTAAGATTGACAAGGAAACTGGGGGAAAAACTAATGTTTATAACTAATATAAAGGAAATTGAATATTCCTTTGAAGTTAGTTTAAGGCCGTCTTCCATGGCCAACTTGTAATTAGTCTGTCGAATTGCCCTGGTGGGATTATTGGGTTGTTTCCTAAGAGTAGTAAAGTCTCTTTTATTCAATTCACTGTAGCCGCTCCCTTAAATGGGATTTCAAAAGTCATTTGGTCTAAAATGGTCATGGCTCTCCTTTGGAGAATTTGATTTGAGACGAATATGTAGACATTCAAGGGATTGAGACTTTTCTTGCTGGCTCCCTTCTTAGTGTTTATTTTCTGATTCTTCTCTTTTAATAATCTTCTGATGCGTATCCATCCCAATTGAGAATCTTTTTTGTATTTCCTTTGCCTTGTGTAATTACCCAATTTCTCCTGTTTTTAAGTTATCATTTTCTGAAATTAAATCTTACAAAAATTGAGATGCATGTAAGTGGTTTGTAAAAACTTACCCACCTAATTAGATGCATGGAAGTTAATTTGGAGATTTCTAGTTATGTAAAAAACAAAAAAGTAAGTTAAAAAAACTTTTCATGATTATTACTGATAAATGCAGTTTTTACATAAAATTTATTGAAATGCCAATATAAATTAAAATTGTGTCTGGGTAACGAACAAAGATTTCAATAAGCTTATTGAAAGTTTTACGGGGAGGCAGTGAAAGAAACTAAATCCAAAACATAAATTTTCTTCAATTTCTTCTCAACCAAACTTATAATACTTCTAACTTTCTCCTTAAAAAAATGATCACAAAAGAGATGTAAGATGACGTCTTTTTATGTGAAAAGGAGCCTCACGCCCGGCAGGTCTAAAATGATTTAGAATTTTCATTTACATGTGAGAAGAAAAGGCAATCATTTAATTTTTTGTTATTGCCTACTTTATATGTTCTAAATATCTAACATAGTAAGTGACTGACTCCAGAGTAGTACGATCAAGATATTCATTAGGATTAGGTTCTTTTCATTTGGATGATTATCCATGGCAATTTAGTTTTTTTTTAAAAAAAGTATTTTAAATAATTGCAGTATAGTAATTACTCCTTCCCACTTGCGGTGGCCATTGTTTTATCTGGGATGTATGAGGATGATTTGGATAATGCTGAGGATGTCATATACACCGGTCAAGGTGGGCAAAACTTAACGGGCAACAAACGTCAGATACGGGATCAAGTAATGGAACGTGGTAATTTGGCTCTCAAGGTATGCACTACATGTTTTATACGAAGCAGAACTTTCTTATATCCTTTGATCTTATGTAACCTGATTAGGTCCTGGTAGTTAATGAAATCCAAGGAATGAGTATAGCTTTTTTATGATAACAGAAGATTAGAAATGTTGGAATTTCTACCATGTGTAAATATTAATAGTCAATGTTTGTCTTTATTGTCTTTATTCTTTTTTCTATGTTTGTAATAGTTTTTTTTTTAAGACCTAGCTTGCTCATAGTAATATATCTATGTATGTTTGGTCTATCAAAATTAGGAAGTATATTTGATTAAACATTAAATTTTTACAAGTTAGAAAATGAAAACTTGCAGAACTAGGGATTGGTTTGCTCGGAAGGATACTTCAAGGCAATTGCTATTAGAGTTATTTTCTTGTTTAAAGAAAGTTTAGTCCTTCCAGGCGATTGCTATTAGAGTTATTTTTCTTGTTTAAAGAAAGTTTAGACTTCAAAATAATACGCTGAATTTAAAGATCATTAAAATGATTGGATACACATTTTGGGAATGCATGCATGTATACCTCAAGGCGTCAAGACTTTGTGTGAATATGATTTTGGTAGGGGGATGAAAATTTTAAATTTTGAAAATATTTTGGCTAAAACTTCTCTCATTTTTTTTCCTTTAGCTTCTCTTTTGAGTTGAAAAATTTCCGGTGCAATTGTTATTTCTTGGGAAGAAAACCATTAAGCTTACTTCTTGGATATTCTAAAAGATCAATGCACTTTTATTCTGTAAAGATATGAGCACCCAGACTTTTTGTTTCTGGTGGATTGTTTACTTTTCGCACTTGTTTTTCATAATTATAGTCTTTTTATGTTCTCTTCCTCTGATCCTTTCATCTTCATAAATTTTTATTGTGTAATTCAATCCTCTGGATGTTTTGGTGTCCTCTCTGCTGTTTAATGTAGTCTTGAGTGTCGAAGTAGGAACCTTCAGATCTTTTGTTTATTTATTATTTTTTTCGTTTTCAATGTCCTCCATGAAGACTATTTTTCTAACATAGTTCCTCAATCTACACATTTGATTGTAACGTGGAATTTTTCTGGTTAGTTGAAAGTTTAGATCTTTGTCTGACCAGTTCTCAACTAAATCCAGAATTGTATTGAGCAAGCTGTTCCAGTTAGAGTGGTCCGGGGGCATGAATGTGCTAGTAGTTACTGTGGGAAACTTTACACGTATGACGGCTTGTATAAGGTATTTTTTTCTATAAGAAATATTCTAGGGTTTTCTTTATTTGTTAGATTCAATAATCCTATGACAAAGAAGTAGTAAGGTTTTGAATTAGACATAAGAAACGAGCACTTCTGTCCTACTATATAGCATAGTCTAGCAGTTTTGAGTTTCAGTTACATACGCAGTATTTCAATGTCATTGGCTTGTGCTATATTAGCATGTTTTCTTGAATGCTAAAACTTCAGTGTAGTGCAAAACTTATTTAGCATGTTAATATTTACTATCAAGTTCAAAAGTTGTATATTCTAGAACCACCTTCCATTAGATGGTTAAGTATTTTCGTTTGCTGTTATATTAAAGGACATTGAATCTTCTCCCTAGGTTTCGGTTTAAGGTCCTGCATGCCTAGTAGTATTTTAGTTTCCAATTTTCATTTAACGAATTATTCAAGTATGGTCTTATTATCTGATTACTCCTGAAATAGGGTGCTAGAGGATACTCATGGTTTGGCTATGCTCGTTAAATCTTCTCAAGAAGTGAGCTTATGTTATTCAAGTAAAATAACTTGAGCGAGTAAAACATATCAAGATATGTTGCATTGTCAGTTAAAAAGCTGCCATTTTATCTTACATTTGGATTGCTGGGGATTATGGAATTTTGTTGGCACTTTTTGCGATTATATGTTAAATATGACGTTAAATATGTTTATTATTCAATTGATTCAGTACTTCTGTATTTCACAGGTTATACAGTATTGGGCAGAAAAAGGTATTTCTGGATTTACAGTGTTTAAATTTCGACTTAGGCGGATTGAAGGACAGTCATTGTTGACTACAAACCAGGTTTATGCTTCTCTGATTTAATAGCTACCTTGTTTTAAAGACTTTATTACTTAGTCTGTGATAACAACACTATTTTCATATGGCACTCTCTTTATCAAGCTTTTGCAATTAACTTCATGTTTGCTTTATGGCAAATGGAGTTCATTTGTAAACTCCTTTGGATTGGTCCTTGTCTTTGTTTTAGGGTAGTTTGGGTTTTTTCATTTTCCTCTAATGAAAAGTTTCCTCTGTCTATCAAACAAACAAAATTGCCATCCTATTTTCCTCGAGAGAATTTTTTTAAACTTCATTACACCTGGCAGTTTTTATTCTTACTAATCATGATGTCTATCTCCCTCCCGCCATTTCTGCCCATGCTTGTTATGTACATATTCATTTGACTGTTTTCTTTACTCAGCCTATTTATTTCGTTTCCTTTGTTTGATGTCACAGCCTACTTTCCTTTTTCCCCTACTGTTAATTGCCTAGTTTATTACAAGTTTGAGATTTCCAGATGCACTTGATTGAACTCATGTTTAATAGAGGCGAGATATTCTTCATTTGTGCATTGATCTATATAAACATTTTCTCTTGTGACAGGTTCAATTTGTTTACGGTCGGGTTCCCAAGTCAGTTGCAGAAATACGTGGGTATGTAATTAAATAATCTGATAAAGATGCAAAAACAATTTACTTCAGGGTTGTTCCAAAATTGATGGATCTTTTTATGTGCCCTTTTGTTTAATTTAAATGCTCCAAGGTTGGTGTGCGAGGATATAACTGGGGGTCAGGAGGATATTCCGATTCCAGCTACTAATTTGGTTGATGATCCACCTGTCGCACCCATAGGCAAGTGAAACAACAAAGTTGGTTTGGTCTCATTAATTTGTTTTGATCAATGTGTTAGAATTGGTTTGGATATTCTTGTACTAGATTGGTTGTGTGTGTGGTACGTTCGAAGTTGTTTCATTTGCTAGGTCTCTGCCTTGGTTGGAAAGGAGAAGAACATATTGGCTGGGTCCTTTTTCTTTTCACCATCCTTGTTTTGAACATTGCTTTTTTGGTTCACTTTTTGCAGCATTCACTCACAAGATACATTTTTACTCAGATACTGTTTTTCCCTTTTGTTTGCTTACGTAGGCATGCAGATATTTGTTGCTGTACTTTTCAGCCTTTTATGACATGAAATATGATGTCTGAACATAAGTATCTTTTTCACCATTATATTTTCCGTGTAAATTTTCTTTTTCCTTGCAAGGACTTATGTTATTCAACAAAAAAACCAAGGATATTTGAAATTGATTTCTACTATCTCTATCTTGAAAATGTGCATTTGAATCTCCCATTAAATTTTCTGCATGCTTCAACTGTAAGGTAATTTCTTTTCTGAATATATGTTCTTGAAATGTTTCAGGTTTCACTTATTGTAAATCTATTAAAGTTGCACATGGCGTGAAACTTCCTTCAAATGCTAATGGATGTGACTGCATAGGATCATGTATAGATTCAAGGACATGTTCATGTGCTAAGCTTAATGGGTTAGACTTTCCATATGTGCATCGTGATGGTGGAAGGTTTGTATTCCATTCAATCTGGATATGATATATCGAAATCTCTTTATTAACTTGAATCTTTTATCACAATTCTGATTGGGTGAGTTTTTTAATTCTTAGACTTATAGAAGCCAAGGATGTAGTCTACGAATGCGGTCCCAATTGTGGTTGTGGTCCTGGTTGTGTGAATCGTACTTCTCAGAGGGGGATCAAATATCGACTTGAGGTTTGGATGTTGAATCTAGTAAAATTATTCATGATTTTGCTTTCCAATTATGATCAGTGCGTCAGATTTTAAATTAATTAATTCAAATATTGTATCTTTTGTGAACAGGTTTTTCGAACACCAAAGAAAGGGTGGGCTGTAAGGTCATGGGATTTTATACCTTCTGGTGCACCTGTTTGTGAATACACAGGAATACTTACAAGGACAGAGGATCTTGATCATGTATCTGAAAATAATTACATCTTTGAAATTGATTGCTTGCAAACAATCAGTGGCATCGGTGGACGAGAGGTACCATACAAAATTCCTTCGATGAAATGTTCTCTATGAAAATAAAATCTCTTACAATGCACATATTTTTCTTCAAATTTTAATTAGGGCATCAGAAGTGGGAAGGGATGAGAATGAATTACCCATCTGCATTAAAACATTCTACTTTATTGCCGAATTCTCTATTAAAAAAATGTGATTCTCTATTAAAAAATGTGAAGGTGGAACTGGGGTTCGGTACATTGAATTTGCATGGATTTTCTCGTCATCTAAGTTAGAAAAAATCTTTTCCCTTGTTATCTGGAGTACATTTGTAATTGATCTTCGGCCAAATTCGATATTCCCACCGATGTGATCCCTATTACTGATGGACAAATCTACATGGATTCTACATCTTGGATCCACCTATTACTGATGGACAAATCTACATGGATTCTACATCTTGGAACCATGGAACCAAGCCAATTTTGGAGCAGACAGACAGGCTGGCCCTGGATTCAGACCAAACTCTTCTTTGAATGACATGATTAACAATTAAAAGTCTGCTTGTATTCTCGTTTTTCGTCCACCATGGCCAGAAATTATGAAAGCAACTTCACATGGGATTGAGGTGCTTTTGGTTGATCCTGGTGCATTGTGTCACCATTGCACTCTTGAAGCAACGGGACAAATTGTGCGACACTTGTTCTAACCCAACAAACAAATCACTTGTGAAAAATTTGGACTTTGCTGACGTTGGTGTATGATGCTCGAGCCTCAAGTTACGTTTGAGAGATGTTTTTGAAAATGTGAGCGAGTAAATGCATTGAAAACAATTTAAAAGAAAGTATTGTTATAAGGTAAAAAGTGAGCAGACAACATATAACCCAGATAGGAAGGAGTGACAACTAGTCATATCCCCTATAAAACATTTTGGGGCATTTTAGCTCTTGCAGGCATAGACATAATTTTGATGAATGGTCATGTACCCCCGTATTGACCCATAAAATAGTAAAGACCTATCTAAATTGAAGGCATGTAAAAGGGGTTTGGAATGGGTATGTGGTCATGGACAAGACGTCCTAGACAAGCATGATCGAGACATCCGACATGTGGCCATAGACAACACGCCTTGAACAAGCTGCATTTGGAAGACAGTAAGGTCTAGTAATTTGGGGGTGAGGAATGGGAAGTTGTGAGGTAAGTCTGAGAGCAAAGAGATTGACATTGAGATGATGTATGAGATGACATCGTGAGAACATAGATCTTGCCAGTGAGGTTCTAGGATGAGACTGAGTAGAGATGTCTACGGGGCAGATGGAGACGAGGAAGCCTTCCCTGTCCCCATCCCTACAAAATTTTCCATTTAGTTTTGTGAGGATTCCCCACGGGGAATTTGTGGGGATTGGGTTCCTCGTGCGATAATTTTTCCCATTCATAATTCTTAAAAAAAATAGTTATTTTAAAGTTTTTATTTTTCAATATAATTTTTTATTAAAAATTGCTTTTGTAATTATGGTTTAAACACTGTTATAGCCATTAGAAAAGTTTCTTGTGATCCTTTAAATAGGTCTCTCTTTTGTAAATTTCAATTTATAAATGAAATCATTTGTTTCCTATTCAACAAAATCAAACTGTATTATACAAGCCTCTAATTTCTCTTTTAAGCCTGTCTCTCTTTCTATTATCACTGTAATCAAACATATCTTGTTTTTCCTGTCCTTGTAGAGGCGCTCAAGAGATGCATCTTTGCCCGCAAACAATTCTTCGGATGGAATAGATGATCAAAGATCTGAGAGTGTGCCAGAGTTCTGCATCGATGCTTGTTCCACTGGAAATATTGCAAGGTTTATCAATCATAGTTGTGAACCTAATCTTTTTGTCCAATGTGTATTGAGCTCACATCATGACATCAAACTTGCTCGAGTGGTACTATTTGCTGCAGAAAACATACCACCTCTCCAGGTTTCAACTTATCTTTTTCTTTGGCTCTTGCTTCCAAATGTTAGTTCAAGTTAAGTTTCTGCAACAAATTTTCATCTGTTTAGGAAAAGATGATATTTTTTTAAAAAAAGTATTCTTTTTGGTACTCACTATCGAAGTTTCTGAGTTTTAGGCTTAAGAAGTTTGGTGGCCAATATTAATTTCAAGTGCTAGAGGGGCATCTTTAGACTTTAGCAAGGCGTGAAGTTGTTTCCCTCCTCACTGCCTATTTTGGTCTTCTACGTCACAATCTCAAATATGTTGTTTCCAGCTGTATAAAAGGTCCTGGGAAAGGTCCTGGGATGTTGTTACGTTAGCCAAGGGTGGTAGGTCGTATCTAGTTCCTTTTTAAGTGAGATTCAAACCTACCTTCTTTCTTTCATTGTATAAGATCTCTTTTTCTGAGTTTAAGGGCGGACTTACGTTAGGACCCAGAAGAGGGTAGGGCTCTCATTTGGTTAGAGATTCTCTTGCAATCATGTAAAAAAGTTAGATTGGATATCAAAGAATATAAGACTTTGTAATTTAGGGTTCAGGACTAAATGACTTAAGTTGTTAACTCTTGAATCTAATGGTTTGTGGCATAAATATTTCGAAATAAGCTATACTGACGAAAAAGTTGAGTCTTCCTCTTTTTCTTTCTATTTCTAATTGATGGGATTTTCCTTAGGATGCTTCCTCAGTGCCTCTACCCAGTATAAGTAGACGATTCTATACTTTTGTATCCCTAACGTATAAAGACTATAGACCGAGACTGTTTTGACAATGATTCGTTATTGTAACAGATAGCAACAAACATTTCATGAACTAGGCTAAACTCCGGCTCCTTTGTCTGATTGAATTGTAAAGGGATTCCATTGCCGTAACCAAAGACTCTATTCTCGGCTAGTACAGCAGAGGACTGAAAATCCTCGTAAGAAAGGATCAAGTTCAGTTAAAGAATAAGGAGCAAATAGACTGATAGTTGGATACGAGGTTCAGGATAATTAATCTTGTTGAGTTGAGTCTTGAGTTTCGGCTTTACGTTTGGAAATTTCCCGAAAAGCTTATCATAGGTTCTTCTCTCCGAAGGTTATAGTAAGCAAATTCAGCCACTACCCACCTAGTTATGAAAATTTCCGGATGGATTCCAAAAGGCATTGCCGAAGGTCTTGTAAAGTTTCCTATGATTCTCCCTTTAGATCGTACTAAGGTTATTGTTATTTTGGTTCAGTCTTGATGTGAGATCTCACATCGGTTGGGGAGGAGAACGAAACTCCCAAAGGTGTGGAAACCTCTCCCTAGCAGACGCTTTTTAAAAACTTTGAGGTAAAGTCCAAAAGGGAGTGGACAATATCTGCTAGTGGTGGGCTTGGGTTGTTACAAATGATATCAGAGCCAGATACTGGACGATGTCCTAGCAAGGAGGGTGAGCCTCGAAGGGGAGTGGACATGAGACGATGTGCTAGTAAAGGCGCTAGTCTTGAAGGGGGGTGGAATTGGTGGGAGTCCCACATTGATTGGAGAAAGCGCTGGGCCTTGAAGGGGGGTGGATTGTGAGATCCCACATCGGTTGGGGAGGAGAACGAAACACCCTCTATAAGGGTGTGGAAACCTCTCTCTAGCAGACGCATTTTAAAAATCTCGAGGGGAAGCTCGAAAGGAAAAGTCCAAAGAGAACAATATCTGCTAGCGGTGGGCTTGGGCTGTTACACTTGAAGAAGTCTTTTACTTTTTCTTGCTATTTTCCTGCTGATGCAGATTTTAGAACATCAAATATTTCTTACTTAAATTGCAGGAACTGACATACGACTATGGCTATGCACTTGATAGCGTGTATGGTCCAGATGGGAAGATAATACAGATGCCCTGCTTCTGTGGTGCAACTGAGTGTAGGAAACGCTTGTTTTAGTCAAGGGAAGCCTTTCAGATGCTGGTACATCATGATTACGGTAGCCTCCCTTTTTTCTGTCTTTATTTCTCGCCTCAAAAATCAATCTTTTCAGTTTCTTTCATCCCTAATTCCATCATCAAACTTACTTTGTTCGCATTTACTCTCCCATTTCTAGGTACATACGTCCACACAGATCCGCCCCTCAAAACTGCATTTTGATATCACTCGTTGGGGAATTTATACATTCATTTTTTGGGGAGAAGCTATTGAAAGTTGTAATGTTTGATGGGATTGTTCATACCTCATTTTGCTTTGATGCGATAATCTGTCTTGGACGTTTATTAATACAACATTTATGAAACTTTACGGCTATCCTTTATCATTTTGGCTGAATTATTAAGAGGTATAATTTAAATTTTTAGATGGAGATCGTCACTTTTAAATGGTAACCTAAGAAACCATTGACTGCATTTGGTAGGATGACAGTATATTCTGCATAACCTTCAAGTTTTTGTTATTGATTTTAGTCATTGTTATCCTCATATATTCAAGATCTTATTCTATATTTGTTTGAATTCCAATTACCATTTCATTTTCCTCTGTTTTTTTTACACGTAGGTGGGCAGAAATACTACGGGTATGGAATTGCCACCCTTTGAATGGACAATGGGAAGATGGCGTGGAAGTGGAAGATCATAGAGAAGGAACTGAAATACAAGGAGCCAGTCAAACAAACAAGCTGCCTTGAAAAGGTATGTGCTGAAATATGTCATCACATTTTTAAGTTAATGATGAAATGTCATTTTGGTATAACTGTGAACAGTCGAAACTTGCAGCTTTATGCTCATGTATCATGAATTGACCTAGTAATCCATAGGATTTAATTCATGATAATCGCTTAGGATTTAATATCCTTCTAACTTTTTTAACACCCAAATGTCGGGATTAGATAAGATTGGGCAGTAGCTCGTCTCGGGCCCAATTCCACATAGACTGCCCATAATTGTTGCACTGTACCGAAAACATCAAGATAAGTTCAATATAAACAAGACCATGGAAGAACAGAAGTGATACAAGAGCAGTGTCTTGTTATATCAAAATCAGCCATCAGGCCTCCTCCGACTCCAAAGCTCTCATTCTATACTGGCGGCCTGACTTCTGTAAGCTGTTTTTTCTACTTTCTAGTCTATCCGATTCATCTTCCTCCATTGAACAAACATCATCATTCTGAGTGTTCACAGCTGCAATGCCTATGGGCATGCCTTTCTGGTGCACGAGCTCCTTGCCGACTCCATTTTGATGATGGCTTCGCTCCTCTAGGGAAGAACTTTCAAGCATTATTGTATCACCTGCTTTCTTTTTTGGAATGAAAGTGATGGACTTTGGAGGACCAGTTGAAGCATCATCCTGATGCGACTCCATTGTCTTTGACCTTCTCACCATCTGAAGGAAATCCATATAGGCTTTCTTGTTGGACTCTTCATCCACCTCATTGGATGAGTCAAAAGTATAGTGCGTGTATCTAGATGGATTCCGTAAGTAGTCTGGAACTTGAGTGGCCTGAGATGGGAAGTTTGCTTCATTGCCAACCTCTGCAACTCCAGGCAAAGAGTTTGCTTCCATAGCAAAATCTTTAAATCCTTGAGATTCTTGAGAAACTTTACATTCCGGGTCAAATCGGACACGCTTGTGCGATTTTGCATCTAGATAATTATCTTTCCTCTTCAGAATAGATTTTGGGTTCTGAGAAGTATTGCATTCAGAATCAGCTATGGCTACTGTACTGTTCTCAGACATGTGCAAAGAGTCGATCGTTTTAGAAGCTTCTGCATCTTCCTCGAGCCTAACTTTTGCAGCCAAGTGATTGGCGCGTGGATCTCTGGTGAAATTTTGTACCGAAGTAGGAAGCTTGGTGCACGAACCTATTTCAATACCACAGTCAGTTGCATCTTTCATATACAATCGATCTCCACCTTTCTCCTTGCCAACAGCAACTTTATCATACTCATCTTCCTCTTCCTGCATCAATTCATTCAGTCACACATCAATACATCATCCATTTCAGGAGCAAGCTACTAATCAAATTGAGTAGAGACAAAGACAACCTAAATGATACCCATATTCCCCAATACACCAGAAAAATGCAGTATAATCATTGTGTTTTAACCTGCCGTACATAACAAAAAAACAATGAGGAAACGCAACAGCCCAAGGGCCTGGGGAAGAGAACTCCCTCTTCATCTAGAGCTACTTACAAAAAGCCTTCCATTCGAGAAGGAATTTAGCAGTACGGAATCCCGAAAAGTAGAGAAAACAGTAGCGTTGCCTTAACTTCCATGAAATGTTACCCTTACAACTAATCGAACTCTCATTTCGGCACTTAAAGCTGCCCTACCAACTCATTAACCGACAGCTAAACCATTCCTACTCATTAAGCAGCAAAAACTATGCTAAGATTAATTTAATCAGAACAGTTCTTAATGAAAGTCGACAAGTGGCCAGAAAGTGCTAGAGATGTACCTCATAATCAAGCGTGCAGTCCCGGCCAATTGAGGACTTGATTTCCCATTCTTCATCTCCATAATCGTCAGGTTTAGGAAACTTACTAGACGAACCATTCGACCCTGGATTTTCGTCCAAATCATCGAGTTCATCATCCTCGAAATCGTCTTGGAATCCAAATGAACTCCTCCCTCTCACCTTCCTTCCGCCGTCGCAGAACGAGGTCGGCTCGAGCTCCGGTTCGAGTTGTTCCTCCTTCTCCTTGATCCACTCTCTCCTCTCGATTTCGTCGTCCGTAAGGCACCAGAGAGATCTCGCAGTTGAACTGAAAGCTGCCGGTGAGGAAGTAGATGTGGAAGAGAGAGAACCAAAGATTCTGTCCACACGAACTTTGAAACTGTCGTCCATGCTCGGCGATGGCGATCAATAGTGAATTTAGGGCTGTTTCGATTTTGAAGAAATGGATATGGAGAGGGAAATGGATGATTTGATTTTCCACCTCTAGTCGGATCTTTAATGGACGGGTCAAGTTGGATAATGGGCCTGCGTTGGTGTTGGGCTTGGGCCGGTATGTTCATTTGTACTTTTCTTTAATCCAAATAAGTTCAACCCATTATATTATCTTTAAGTCTTACATAAATTTGGATTTTATCATCATTTTATGATACTGATGAGTTGTTTTTTTAAACCCAATTTCGAATTTGTACATTTTTTTTTCAATCCAAAAAATGAAACTAACCAACAAAAAAAAATTTATTAATCATTTATTCAAAATTTTATTTTTAATAAAAAAAAATATTAATATATAAAACATCTATAAAATAATGCGCAAAACTCAATATTATTTATTGAATGAAAAAAATAAAAATAAATGTGTGCATGTATAATTGTATAAGAAAAAAATGTTTTTTTTTTTTTAACTCTAATGACGAACTTGTAATAAAGTTTAAAATGCAAAATTTGGGGAATGGTGAGTTTATTAGGTCGTCGGGTCTCCTAAAATTAGTTGGGAATGTTGAGTTTGCAAGAGGTGAGTTCGTCGGGTCTCCTAAAATTAGTTGGGAATGTTGAGTTTGCAAGAGGTGAGTTCGTCGGGTCTCTACCTTTTTTTTTTAATAACTCTATGTAACATCGTATAGGTAAAACAACTCATATATCATAATAAAGTTCAAAAGAAAAAGGTTTACATAATAATCAATCAAAACGTAAATAATCGACATTTTATCAGCTAATTTTAGCCAAACTTAACTCTTAAAGTGTTCTATATATATATATATATCTCGTAATAATAATAATAATAATAAAGTGTTCTACTGTTAAAAAGTATATTTATTTATTTATTTGCTAAATAAGTCTTCTCTACTCCTCCCATTCTTAAATTGGAGCGGGTGCTAGATGCACATCTAGAAATATATGAAAGATGAGCAAAATTAATAGAAAAATTATCGTTCCTAGCAATGAAGTAATGAAAAATTAGCAAATATAGAGAATTTAGATCAATTAAATCCAAAGAATTAGGATGAAAATAGTTTTTTTTTTTTTTTTGTTGAATTACGAAGGGCTCGAACAGACGAACAGAGGGAAACTGAGAATTGATTTAAAAACCCGATTCTTGAATTCCATACGGAGATCGGATTTGCAGAGTGATTCGCTTTCAGTCTCAGTGCCATTCATCCACTCTCTGGCATTCCAGAAATCTGGTCCCCGATGAGATCTCTCAAAGCTCCCTTCTCCAACAATGGTACCAGCGGCAGAAGGCTTACGCTTCTTCATCTTGTTTGCGCTGCTGCTCTCTTCTCTTTTCTTGTTTTTGTCATTCAATCCTCCTTCTTTGCAGGTTCCTCGTCCCACAGTTCCTTATGTCTCCCTTTACCATTCATCTCCTTCATCATTTCCTTCATGTTTTTCTCTTTTCTTCTTCGAATTTTCAGGTTATCAGCAGCCTCTTGCAGATCTTAACAGGGAGGAGGTTCGGATTCTGTCGGATTTCCAGTCCAGCGTTCAGCAATGCGTGGTTTGTATTTTTCTTAGCTTTACCTTAATTGCGTTCATAATCTGTTCCCTTTTTCGATTAAACATTTGCTGGAGGAGGGGAAAAGGCTCAGCCTATGTGATAATTTGAAATGTATTTGATTTCCTTTGATTAGTTCTGATTTCTAGATGAAGTGGATTTATTCATCTCAATGATATGGATTACGATGTTGTTTGTTGCATGTCCAATGCATCCTAATATTTCTAGGAGTTTAAAGAGAGCAGTATTTTCTAAGCGCTTTTTGGAGCATAGTTAGTTCTGCCGTCCGATCTCCACTTTTAGTTATTTGAAACCGCACATTTGAGATTTTCAATAACCTTGGGTATCAAACCAGTCATGACAAAGCTCACGGCCTACTGTTTCTACATATCCTGAAAATGTCTATTGTCTATTAGAAGACTGCATCTTAGTTGTTTTAATATTTTAAACCTATGCATGCATTGTGTATGTGGATTAGTTTCTGCCGGTTCATTAGCCTTTTGAACTTCTACTGATCATGAAATTGGGTACAGGCAAAGAGGGGGCTTGGACTCACTGCACATATTATTGACCACTGCAAGTTGGTTCTCAAGTTCCCAGAAGGCACAAATAGTACATGGGTCTCTCTCTCTCTCTCATCTGTGTGTATGTGTGCACGCTGTTCTTCTTTGTTGCTGATTTTTTAATGCTCTGTATTGGCAGTATAATGAGCAGTTCAAGATTTATGAGCCTTTAGAGTATCCGTATGATGTGTGTGAGGCAATATTATTGTGGGAACAGGTTGGTAGTAGCCATCTTTAATTTGTGCATTCTCTTAAAGAGTATACATGTCCATTCTAATGAGTGTTGAGCAATACAGTATCGCAACATGACTACTGTCTTGACGAGAGAGTATTTGGATGCACGGCCTGATGGGTGGTTTGATTATGCTGCAAAGAGAATCGCCCAATTGTGGGGTTACTCTCCTTCAAGTTAATTTCATCTGGTAGATTTATTTGATCTAGAGACTGCAATTGTTTTTGGTGTAGTGAAATCTATTTACCTTTGTGTAGGGGAGCAGATAAATGTTACAATAGAACTCTTTGTGAGGAGCACCTAAATTTGATCCTGCCATCTAAACCTCCTTTTTGCCCCCGGCAGTTTAAAACCTGTGCAGTTGTGGGAAACTCTGGAGATCTTCTAAAGACTGACTTTGGTGAAGAAATTGATAGTCATGATGCTGTTATACGTGATAATGAGGCACCTGTAAATGAAGTAAGCTAGCTGTACTAGCCAATTCTTTCGATTACTTACTGCAAGAATATTTTCCGTCGTTTATTGATTTATTAAACGCCTTATTCAGGTTAGCTAGAGTCTTTTACTCTGTAGTTTGTCCTGTAAATAGTAATTAAATAAC